TGGCAAGCTTATACTGTAACCAGCAGTCCTCTGTGGGCATCTTAGCCCTGTTATTTGGGTCTGTATTCCAAGTGAAGAGGAGAGCTTTGTAGTGAAGATCAGAATTCCCATATTTAGAAAAGCCAGAGGAGGTTCATCCTGTGTGTGACGATTCACTGCCACTTTTTTGCCTAAATACTGTGGGAATTCCATTTTTTCATTGTAAATACAGTTTTCATAATAATGTTTCATTCCTGCATTTGGGGTGTATTAAAATGAGCGTGGCCAGCAGATTGAGGGAGGTGATCTTCCTTTTCTACTCTGCCCTAATGAGGCCACATCTAGAATACTGTATCTAGTTCTGGGCTCTGCAGTTCAAGAAAGACAGGGATCACCTAGAAGTAGTCCAGCAGAGGGCTACAAAGATGATAAAGGTCCTGGAGCATCTCCCATATGAGGACAGGCTTAGTAACCTGGAACTTTTCAGGCTGAGGGAAAGAAGACTGAGAGGAGATCTGATTAATGGTTATAAATATCTAAGGGGAAGTGGGAAACAAATGGATGAGGCCAGGCTCTTCTTGTTGGTGTGTAGCAGTAGAACAAGGAACAGTGGCCTAAAACTTGAACAAAGGAAGTTCCATACTAACATATGGAAGAACTTCTTTTACAGTAAGGGTGATGGAGCCCTGGAACAGGTTGCCCAGAGAGGTTGTGGAGTCTCCTTCTAGGAAGATATTCAAGACCCATCTGGATGCCGACCTGTTGTAGGGTGCCTGCTTTAGCTTAGCAGGGAGGTTGGACTCAGTGACCTCTGGAAGTCCCTTCCAACCCCTGATGTTCTGTGATTTCTTCTGCCATGACTAGGTAACAGCTGAGGAGCAGGAATGCAACTTTTCCACCACAGGTTTGCAAGTTGGTTGAACGTCCTTTAGGGTGTTTTAGTACTTGCTATAGTTCTGCAACTGATTTACTATTTGAACCCAGACTAGATCTGCTACTTGAGTAACATTTCCGTAGACACAGTTTTTGATAAGTTGCTCTGTGATTTCTTGTCGTTTTCTGAGTGTGGCCTTTAGTCCTTCCCCCTTACACCCAGTGTGTGGTCTCTCCATTGCTTAGGTTCTGGAGTCCTGGGCTTGGGAGGATTTGCCAGTTCCTTTAAAAATAACCAGCTTTTCCCTTCCCTTTCCCTTGGCGGGTTGTACTAGCAAGGCTAAATGAGGCCAGATGATCCACAGGCATCTGTTTCCTTTTTCACTGCTCTTCAGCCATCTCCTGATATCCAAGTGATTTTTTATTATTCTGAACCCCATTTCAGCCAAGTGTGACATGTGACAGAAGGATATAGATTGCAAAGATAATGATGTTCTTGAGAGCTTCTCAAGACTGAAGTTACTGAAGGAGCCAAGTAGGCAACATCTTTTAAGTAAATGGGAGACTTTTCATGTTCAGATTTGTCTGAAAAATTCAGGCCTGTGCAACAGAAGACACAGTGATGCACAAAGAAGAGGAAAGCCTTTTTCATAGCATGTAACAGGAGTAGGAATTACGGAAGTGTTGTGAATAGTGCAGCAAATGGCTTGAATTTGCCACAGGCAGTCATGAACCTGGTAGATGTATCTGTTACTTGTGAGAGGGCCGAGGACATGAAGAAAATTGATAGTCTCATCACATTAAGGATATTTCCAGAGATCAGTGCAGAATGGGAAAGTGCATTTTTGCTCAGGAAGAAATGACTGTGTTTTCCATAGGAACTTTGTGAGAAATGATCAAACAGCACTTGCCTGAAAACCTCAGGAAAACTTTGCCAGGGGACAGCAAGGATGTCAAATTGGAAATAGAGCAGAAATTCCCTAGTGAGGGTCTCAAGAATTGGGTTATGTGGCTTGGATTAAGCTATTATTAACTCCTCATTTTTTTTCCTGTGTTTATTCACAGCATATGAGAAATTTTGTATTTGGAATTGAAACTTAGAAAATAGAGTTCTATTTGGAAGCAAGGTTTGTGCCAACTAAACTGCTAGTTGTGTGGATAGTGAGTCACTGTGGGATTTGAAACATTCCTTTATCTTTTTATGGTATCCACTGTGAGTGTGAATTTGGGTTGGGATTGGTTGGTGTGTGTATTATTATGCCTGTTGCAAGTATGCAGAACTGCATTTGGGTTTTGTTTGCTGTTATTTCCTTCCTTCAAGAGTAAATAAATACACATTTTTTAAAGAGATGTATTAATCCTGTTCTCTGCCTGCTGTTCCAAGAGGAGGAGGAGGCATGAAAAGGTCTAAGAGTAAAATTTTCAACTAAACAATGTGTAGTTGTCCAAGTACTACTTGTATTAAATCATTGTCCTTAATGGTCTCTCCCTCTTTTTGATGGAGTATCAGGAAGTTCTGGATAAACTAAAAAAAGCGTTTTCCAGAAGTTTGACTTTTTTTTTGTGGTCTGTCTAGCTCCTTTCTCTTCTAGATGTCATGAAGCATTAAATACTGCTTATGATTGGACGATGGTAGTTCAGGTGCTTTGGGCCCTCTTGTCTTATAGACAAGGACTCAGCTGCAGTGGCTAAGGAGCATGTTGGTCATTCCTGAAACTGAGCTGCTGCCGTGTTTGCCATCACTTGGAGCTGTGATCGGAAAAGTTCAGGGATTTGTGCCATTCAAAGTGCCAAAACCTCCAGTTTTGCAATCTGTAGTCCAAAGTCTCTCTGAAAGAGTAAGGCTGTGCTGAGAGGTTATCCATATTAGACATTTGAGAAGGAAGTAATTCTGAAGCCTTAATCTGAGTAGATTTTCAGCGATGACAAAGGTTAGTTGAATGGTTGGCCAGAAACATTATAGTCTCCAAATTCAGACTCCAAATCACAGGAACTATAGAACATACTGAATTGGAAGGGACCCACAAGGGTCATTGATTCTAACTCCTGGCTCCACTCAGGACCACCCAGAATTCAAACTCTTTGTCTGAGAGCTTTGTCTGAAGTCGTCTTGAAGTCCAGCAGCTTGGGGCCACGACCTGCCCTGGGGAGCCTGTTCCAGCCTCTGGTGAAGAACCTTTCCCTAACCCCCAACCTGACCCTTCCTGACACAGCTCCATGCTGTTCCCTGGGGCCCTGTCACTGTCACCAGAGAGCAGAGCTCTGCCCATCCACTCCTGTGAGGAGCTGCAACCGCCATGAAGCCTCTCCTCAGGTCCTCTCTAGGTTGAACAGACCCTGGGAAGTATTAAGAATTGGGCATCTCTTTGTGTCTGAGTGTTATGGCCACACCTTCTCAGCAGCAGTTTGGCTGGCTGACGTGTCAAATGCTAATGTGGACTTCTTGCTTTGGTGCCAGTTGTGGAATTTGTTCTTGAAGCATTTGTTTTGATGTTTTTGTTTAAAGACTTGGGGTATGGCACTGCCTCAGACCTTGTGCTTACTGAATTATTTAGCTGAAATCAGTCTGCCTCAAAACTTCAGCACAGAAGTTTCTCTTTGAAGTTCTGTTAAGAATTAAGGGTCTCAAGTGTCTTGGCTGTGGGTTTTGCATTGCCGGTGTTGTTGAGCACTGGAGCTACTTCAGGGTAATTTATCAACCTGTTTTTCTACAAAGTAATGGTTCACCTTTTCTTTCCAAGTGAACCTTGGATTCTCTTCAGAAAATGTGATAGGTGAATACATCAGTGATACATCCTACTTAACTGAAAACTACTGGTATAATAAAAATAAATAACAGTTAAAACATGCGGGAGAGGAACTTGCGGGAATTTACTTTGGGAGAATACTAAATCAAGCGTGAATTACTATTGCTGTGGTTTAAGGCTGTCCCTTTCACATTAGTGCTGATGCTTTTTGTCCCCATTCTGAGTGTGTGTGTGTGTGTATATATTTATATATATATTTCCCCCTCCGGATTTCTTCTGTTGTCCCTGACTTTGTCCTGACCTCATAAAACTGCCCATTTTGATGTGTTAATCCATATGGCTCCATAGAAAGACTGCCTGCTACTGTGATATCCAGATCTATCAGCATCTTAAAACCCAGGAGCTGCAAACGCATCCTCTATATTTGGTATAGAAGTAAGGAGAGAAGGAGCAGTTCACTCAAAAGTCCTTCAGTTAGCTGGCTTCTTTTCTGTTGTTCTTCTGTAAGTGGTCCACAGATGGCATTATGGCGTGTTGGCAGTGTTCTATGCTCACCTCCTTGCAGTCAGCCAGGCTTCCGTTTTCAGGGACTTTCTAGTCCATGATGCATTGCAGAAAATGAAGTCATGCTAATCTGAGGGAAAAAAAAAGGAACAAACAAGAAAACAGCTAAATTAATTCTGGGCTGATGATAGCACAAGACTGAATTGGCACTTGCCTTGAGCAATGTAGTGGAAGCATCTGCATTACTCTAGCTGAGGGCAGTGTTCTCTTCTCCCTGTCATGAAGAGTTGCTGTGCAGTGAAGTAAAAAAAATATGAAGTACTTGGGATCAAATGAGATTCTATAATCGCTTCTTAACCACATTTTGATGTTATTGTTAGTATTTAGTGTTATGAATGGCTATGCGAGTGCTATGAAATAGATACGGTTTATGTCCTGGGGAGCTTTATAATGAAAGCTGTATGATGGAGAGTTGTATAGTAAGAGATGCAATTTATGTTCCTTTTGCACCTAGTTTCACATAAATTGTGCTAACTAGAGGAACTGTTAGGTATAGCATTTTCTTTTCTGAATTTGACTTTTGCAGCTTTAAAAAATGCTTTAATGAAAATCTCTTATGTTTCCTATTATTCTCACATAGACACTAACTCACTTCATATCTCTATATTCCCCTTTTCCTTCTCCAGATGTTTCCTGATTCCTTGTAAACCTGTCTTTGCCCACTTTGGTCTCCAGTTCCCAAATTCTCCAAACTGCTGCCATGTTCATTATCCCTATCCACCTTGTATTCTTTGCTTACAGGCTTCCCAGAGCAACCCGTCCTGTTACTAAAGTGTCTTTAACCTTTGTAAGACGTTTCCCTAACATTTGCAATCTTCTGTGCATTTCTTTTCTCAGCAAAAGCCAAGTCCAAGTGTGGTGCCACCTTCTTCCCCTGTGCCAGTGGAATCCACTGCATCATTGGCCGCTTCAGGTGCAACGGGTTTGAGGACTGTCCTGATGGCAGCGATGAGGAAAACTGCAGTAAGTATCGGTCTACTTCCCAGTTAAGGCATTTTATTTTCTTTCAGCTAATCATAGACAGGAACACTGGTTAGCTTTAGTTTGAGTTGGATAACCTGGATGATCTGTGTGCCTTTTTTTTTCTCTCACAGAATCTCTCAGTAGCAATGTTGGTAGTGTTAATGACAGGCAAATCTTCCTCAACAGGAAATGTAAACTTTAGTACTCCTCTCAGAAGAGTCTGTTCAGCCTTAGTGTTGTCAGATGCAGGCACTGCCTCCTCCGACATGTTTCAGGGCGTATTTTCTTGGTTGTTGATTCATAATCTCAGGTGAGAGTTCTGCAGAGGAGCGATCGTCTCTACAACAAGCAGTTCAAGAGTGGTGGTAGAGTGACATCCAACTTCTTTGCAAACCACTGCATTTCAAAATGGCGGGATGGCCTGACTAAGGCAGGCGAAATTTCACCTGCTTTTGTCTTAGTTTTGGTTGTGTCCAGTTCTCACTCACACATACACAAACACTGCGTCCTTTTCATTAGTGTGTTCTCTATCTTTTCCTCATCGCTGCACTTATTTATTTATTTATTTTGCCAAGCTAAGTGAGTGGGATTTGTCTTCTGGCTGGTTTTAAGATGTGTCCTTTCTGAGCCAATCATTGCTACCTCCTGTTCTGCTGGCTGGTTAGCACCACTCTCTAAATTTTTCCTTTTATTGCTGTCAGTGACAGAGAATCTTGTGTGGCGTTTACATCACAAAAACAGGCCTTGTTTAAAAAATACATATATATTTAAGGATCCAATTGACAACGGTGATTTTTTTAATAAAGTTCAGCTTGGTTTTGCTTTGTACATAATGCCTGCATGTTATATTAAGACATGTTTGTAATTCTGAAATTAGATTTGGGCTTCATGTTTGCTTTGAACGGGTTCTCTGTATTTCAATGTAATATGCATTTGTCAAATATTACAAATGAGATTTAAAATTCAGTTCAGTTTTTATTTGCTATTTTTGGTCACTAAAGAAGATTCTTTGTTCATCAGTGCATTTAGGCTTCTCTGTCTATACATGTTCTCAAACAAAAAAAAAAAGCCAGGAAATGAAACAGGAGAAGCAGGTTCTCAAAGTCAGAAATGCCTGCCAATGCATGAATTTGAGCCCCTGAGCTGTTCAGCATCTTGTAGCAAAGTCACAGCAGAGATATCATTTGAAGTATGACTTGCCATGGACTAAAACCCTGTTGTGTGGCTGCATAGATCTGCTGTATCTGTAAGTTTAGCAGGGATTTATCATAGTGGTAAGGAAAGGTTATGTTCGATCCAGCAGCCTTGCTGCTATTATCAGGAGCTGTTAAAATGTTGCGTGGGTCTGTAGGCGGAAGCTGCAGCAAATAGTCGCTTGTTCTCTTGTTGGAGCAGGCTGGGCTTTTCCTTTTAATGTCATTTAAAGGTCAGGAGGAGGACAACAGACACCAGCTTTCAAAGATAACAAAAGGGGAGATCTTTACAGAGATCTATCACTGTCTGCTTCTAGGAGAACTTGCCTTTCTTGTTTGTGTGCCTCCCCCACATGTTGAGATCTCTCTGGCAGCATGAACATCCTTTAAAGGTGCCATCTGTTGTTGGTCGAGAGTCTGCTTTGGCTCCTGGGAGGGCTGTGGCAGCGCGATAGCACCTCTGCAGATGATGAAGTTAGTGAAACAAGATTGAAGGCTAAGATTTTATGGTCTTTGGGTTATGCTTAAACAAATGGACTAGAAAGAGGTTTTGATGAATGTTCTTTGAGTATCCTTGAGCTAGTGGACTGACAAATGGCAGGTTTCACTTTAAAGCATGCCACCTTGGAGTTAGTTACAAATTCCTTAATTTCCCGTGTGCTTGTGGCATGTGGCTCTAACAAGGCCTTACAGCTGATAATAAGCTACTGGTCCTCCTTTTCCTCGGTGCTATTGAAGTGCACCCATAGTATTTTCCAGCACATCTAAGTGTCTAGTCACAGCTTTGCTTAAGTAGAGAAACAGTGCTGTAGGTCCTAAAGTGACCTGCAAAATCAATATGCTGTGCAAGTATGCAGCAGTTCCAGACCAAAAGAGATTTTGCATGTTTGTAATAAATGTGCTTTTGGGGAGCTGGAGGAATTGACGAGATGTAGGGAGTATTTGTTGTACATACTGGTATACTGCAGAGTATATGCACAGAAGAGTTTAAAGTGTGATGGTGGTTTTGGTGGGTTTTTTTTTTTTTTTGAAAGTCTCTTTAAGGGCAGCTCTTGCTTAAAAGAATAAAAAAAATAGGAAGCCAGTTGGTATTTGGGAACTGTAATCCCCTTTGTTATTGTGGCAGAGAATCACTTTGAAGCAGACAAGGCATCTAAACAGCTTTTTAAGATTTTCAATTGGAATGCTGCATTCAGTTTCAGTCACCTCATTATCAAAAATTGGCGGGAGTTCAGAGAAAAGTGACAAAAATTATTAAGGGACAAAGAGATTGATTCATGAGAAGATATAAATTATGCATATCTCAGGTAAGGCATGACTACGTAGGAAGATAAGGCTGTATGTGAAGGGTGCAAACATTGTTCAAGGAGGGATTATGTAGTTATGTATGCTGAAGTATAGCTAAGAGTAGAGGGATGAAATTAGGAGTGAGAAAACAAGCTGAATATCAAGGAAATCTCCTTAGCAGTGAGACACATTGAATCTGTGATGTAATCTCCTAGAAACTGAGAAAACTATGCTGCTTGAGGCTTTAAAATGAGACTATCTATAGCAGCAAATATGCTGTAAGGTGCTAGGTTTAGAGTGAGTGAAAACGGCTCTTCCTGAATGAGTCTGCTTAAATACTGTTCTGCTTTTGCTGAGTGTGCATTCACCTGACTCACAGGGCCGTATTTTGTGAAAGGATTTTCTGAGTGCACTTTAACTGCAAAAATGAATTTCAAGTTCAAACACTGAGAATTTGAGAAATGCCAACATTGCCATTGTATCAATTAAAAAAAAAAAAAGGTGAGGATGAGCAAGATGGAAAAAACAGAACAGGAGGTAGATTAAACACTGTGCTGCAGTTCTGAGCTTGGATTGTTGGCTTATAAAACTTGAGCTAAACTGACTTTGTCATAATGGGAAGCAACAGGCAGTGCTATCTACCATACAACTTTGAGGTGGGCAAAAGCTGAGTATCTAGCAGCAATTGTGCTGAAGGCTCTCATGAAAGAGAGCAGAAGGATTACTGCAACTGAGAGTAGACGAAATCTGTGCTAATTCTAGTGAATCTTGCATGATTTAGAAATTTAATCTCTCTCTGCTTAAAGAGGCAAGGTATGTTTGATTGCAAGTTACTTCCACATATTCAGTGAAGTGATCAGCCGTTGAGTTGTGACCTGTTGTCCTTAATTACCTAAAGGCTATTCCACTGCCTAAGAGAATATCTAATGAAAGATCTCACTTTCTCTTTTCACAGCAGCCAATCCCTTGCTTTGCTCTACTGCCCGATTCCACTGTAAAAATGGTCTTTGCATTGATAAAAGCTTCGTGTGCGACAGTCAGAATAACTGTCAAGACAACAGTGATGAAGAAAGCTGTGAAAGTCCTCAAGGTAGGAATAGGCTCTTTTTCTGTTACGCAGCATTATACCAACTCTAATTAATGTGTTACAGACATAGAAATTATGTTTCTGTTGTTGCCCTGTGCTGACTAGAGCTGTGGTTTCCTAATCTGCAGATACTGAGAGTGAAACACGTAGTGTGTGCGTGCGTGCGTTCTGGTGTCAGTGCTCAGAAGATTGGTATCTCTTTTAAATTAATTTAAAAAATCACTTTTGCTGGAAGTGCTTGTGATGTGTGATCCAGCGCTCACTGAAGTTGCTAGGAATCCATTTAGAGAGATGGGTTGGATCTGGAGAGATCAGTAATAAAGTTTCAGTTTGAGGACGTTTGGTGGTCTGTCCGTTTGCCAGATGAGTAAGTCTAGGGTGGGCTTAAAGCTGTGGATCCTCTTTGCACTGTTACTTTCTGCAGGGTATGCTTCACTGTATGACAAGTCTACGGTATATTCTACAGTATATATACAGTATATATACAATATATTCCTAGCCTTCCCTGTTTCAGTATTAAGAGAACAATATGAAGCCAGGGAGGAAATTTTTATTACTGTTTGAAAATTGTGTATGAGTCTTATGAGACTTTCAAAACACCATCTCTGTAATTTTTTTTCTTTTCAACTTTTTCTGTAACTACATGCACCATTTCTTACATTTGCTTTTTGTAACTTAATACCATAGTATTTTATAAAATGAATGACTTGGGGTTGACAAGTGTGTATCAGGCATCAGCTGCTAAACCTGTTCATGTCTGAGTTGCTACTGAGAGCCCAGAGCAGGAAAAGATGGAAGTCTCGTTGGATGTTTGCTGGGAAATAGCAGTGTGCTTGGGTGTATAGAAAACAGAGCACATGAAGAGAGAGATAAAGGATGGTATGAAAGAAGATGAAATCTGAGAAATTGAAGGAGAATGACTTCAATATTTAGCTGTTCTGATGATTTAGCCCTTCATGAAAGAGAAAGTAATTCTGAGCTCAACATGGTGATAAATATTTTTGACAACTCATAAGGGAAGAGGGAAAACAAGCAGCAGCAATGTCAACAAAAAAGAGTTTACAGCAGTGGTATGTGATGATGTGTTCTGTGTGGTTTTTCTGCTTAACCTATGAGCTCTTTCCTTTGGCTGAAGATGTGAAAGCTGAACGGGTCATCCTCTTACTTGCCAGGGCTGTGTCACGTCCTGAGAACATAAATCTGCCTGGATGAAGCCCCAGAGAGGGAGCTGGCCTGCTCTGGCGTTGTGGTTGTCTTGGGGAAGGAGAAGAAAAAGGACATTTTGAGGGTCTAGTGCTCTGTATTGCTGCTGCAGTAGTGCTGCTGTGTTGAGGAGTGAATTGTTTTTCACTACAGGTCTAAGGCAGCCTAGTAAGATTAATGCATGTGGTAAGTTTTTTTGTTGTTGTTGTTGGGTTTTTCTTTTTTTGGCATCTGAAGCTTAAAGCAGCAGTGTTCTTTTCCAAGGTTGGGATGGCTGCTTCCTCTGCAGATTAATTGGCTGGATTGCCTCCAGGTTGTTTGTTGTCATGACAATCTGCTTTTGGAAGTGACTGTCAGGCTCCGGAGAAGAAAAGAGCTGTATTTCATGAAGCTGTTACTTTGTCTTTATCTTTGGTCCTTCTGGAAAAGTCAGATTATTATGGGGTGTTAAGCAGAGTAATTCTGCCTCTTTCTGTGCATGAAAAAGCCCCAGACATGGAAAAAGGAACTCTCTTTTATTAGATTAGAGCAGCAAGGGTCTGTTTTTATGAATATAAATATGTGCTTAAAAAAAACCAAGTACAAGTACAAGATTGAGAATAAGGAGTGAAATTCTGATTGTGGTGTGTGTGATCGTCCTGTGGCAGTTCAAGAGCTTCCCTGAATTGCCATGTCCCCATCTGTCAATGTGTGATGCTTGTATACCTGTCTTTCCAAGTGAGGATTAAACAGTGTAATGTGCTCAGCTCCCCATCAGAATGTAAACGAAGATTCCCCCTGGAGTTTGCAGCTATGGCTATGTCAGTCCTGGCTCCCAAACACAGCAAATACTTTGTATTAATTGAGATTTAGAGGCTACAGTGGACAGAGTCTTTCATTTCTCACAATTCTTTCTATAGCAGATTTAATTAGCGTAATTATGATGAGTTTTGTGTTAACACAGCACCCAACAATCCTGGTCATTAACTAGAACTCAAGTGTTCTTAGGTACTTAGGGACAGAGTAAAGTGCATCTGTAGGGCATTATAAAATCAAGATAGAGGATTTTCTTTCCACCAGCCATGTCATCATGTCAAGTCTAGTAGTTTTAATTCAGTGTAATTGAGTTCAGTCTGGCACAGGAGATTGCCCTTGTGTGCTATTTCCCTACATAAAAAAATTGTTGATTTAGCAATCACTAAGCTTCTGAACCTCTCCCTGTAGTATGATATTGTCATTATCACCGTTTAACAGATGGGGAAAAAAAGGCACAGATCAGCTAAACAAAATGATCCCGGAGTAACATCCTGGCTGGTAGGAGCAGAGCTTCATCTATGCTTGTCTGCTTCAGGTGAATGTTGTGAGACTTAATCAATGTTTGCAAACTGTTTTGAGATACTAAGATAACATGTGGAATAAAAGTGTGAATTATTAATTGGTACTTTGCTCTCCTTCTGCTCTTGGGTATACTGGCAAGCTTTTTAAATTAACACCTCTTCCTACTCCTCTATGAACTTCAAAGGCCTCCTTTATCCTGCTTGTCATTACAGGAAGGCTGCAGTAGCAAATCTTTTTGGTTTGTGTCAGATACTCCTTCGTGCATAAAGGTTCTTTTGATCAAGAATGGTCACTCTATGGACTAGGAAAAGAGAATGTAACCCCTCCTGCAAAATGTGTTGACTTGGCTTTGACGGGAGGCATATCCTTGACAAATAGTAGCTTTGCTAGAACACTGTTTTGCAATGAACCTGAAGTTGTGAGTGTGTAAAGATTCATTTTAGTGATAAATAGGAGTAAGTTCATTTGGGGATGAGGCAGGAGTCAAGTATCACAAGATTTAGGTATAGAAATGGGAGGAGGGTCCCATTTTCTGAGAACAAATTCGTGCTCTTTTTTCCCATACCACTTTTAACCCAGTGTTGAATATCTTACTAAGGTTTCTGTGTCATGAGGAAAGGGACAGTGTAAAAGCTTAGACCACAACAGCCTAAAAGCAAATCAGATAATTCTGTTCTTGTTCCCAACTGTGATTATTTGTCAGCCCTTTAGGTGCTGTGGTAATCCTTGAAGCTGTTCCTTTAATCTGTCCCCAGCTAAATTCTGATGATCTTGGTTTCCAGCACTGAAGTGGAATGGACAGACTTTTCCCTTAGTTTAGTCTATTTATCCAGATAACCACTTGGGATTAGGACTGGGTTGAGGGTATAATTGCTTGCATTATCCACACTGTCACATATATGTAACTCATGCAGAATTGCTCTTTCTAGGGCTTTGTTCTAGTTCTGTTCAGTGGATCTTATCCAGGAAAGTCTCTCCCACCAATCTGCTTTTTTCCCCTGATTGCCTGGGATATCTCCCACATGTTGTGTTAACTGATGGTGGTAACCTTTCCAAGCAGCACCACTGGCCTGCTGGTCATGGGGCAATTTCCTGCTCTGACAGCAGTCCACTGAACTGCAAGGGAATTCCTTGTTCTTAGTATTTTTCAACAGCTGTGTAAATTTTTTTTCTCCTCTAGCACTGTACTTAATTTATTCCCTTAATTGCTTTTTATCTAAATGTATTTTCACAGCGTTTCTTCCTTCAGCTTATCGTCCATTTTGTGCTTTTTAGTTTAAAAAGATTTTCCACCAACAAAGCATACTGGCTGTTCTAATTCAAACTCCTCTTCCTTTCATGGCCCTTCTTTTCGTTCCCACTAAGGATGCTAAAATCCTTTATTAGCTTTAGCCACGTTGCCTAGGAAAAGAGTATTACTGCTGCAAGTCTATATTCACGCTGGCCGAGCTGGCTTCAGTAATGTTGCTCCAATTGTCACCCTGCAGTTGGTAGTAAACAGTACCATTGCTGTCAGGTTACACGTTACAGGTTTTGCAAGTGTCCCGAATCTGATTCTTCTACATTTCTACAGTGTATTTGGTAATGGCCACAGTTGCACATATGGGTACTTCCTTGTTCACGTTTGCATAGTTTTCGTTGAATTTTTATTAGGATTTTGATATCCCGCAGAATTCTAAAACAAATTTAGAAGCACACATGACTGTCAGCTGATCTTTTTTTTTCTATAGCATATATAAATTGCTTGTAAGCGGGCACCATACTGAATCATTGAAAAATCTGATCCTGTGTCAAACAAACTGACAGCCAAGTGGTACAGACATACTCTAAATTTCAGTGAAATATCACATTTATAAGGCACAAAGAGCTCCCAGAAGGTTCCACTCCATGTGGAGCTTACAGTCAGCCCTTTGCACGTGGCAAACTGAAATTCTGAAATTCCCAAGTACTCTGATATCAGTTATACTTCCCTAAGCCTTGTAGCCTGAGCCTGGCTGCACGCGTTTCAAGTATCTTTGACTCATTATTGACTCAGTTGGTAAGCTGAAGCTCCACTGGCAATTATTGTGCATCACCTTAGCCCAATTCAGCCTACAGCTGGAACTGGCAAACTGAACAGAAGCAGGAACTAAAGAAAGGGTACAAATAAAATGTCACTGAATGTTTCATTAAAAGGAGGCTATGCCTGGGCGAATTTAGCTCTCTAATAGCTTTGTTTTCTTAACACTTGCTAGATGGAGGCGTTTCTGTCAACTATGAATTGCTTCTTTCCTCCATTCCTCTGTTCTCTGATCAAGCTCAGGATTTTTTCCCTATTTTGACTTCATAAGATTGTGTTTGATAGGGTTTTTTTTCAAGAGGCAAATCAATGCATCTGTATAGAGACTAAAAGTTAAGATGGACAGGTACGTATGCAGCTATAACATAGTGCTAGACAAGCAGTGACTTCAGGTCTCCAAATGAAAAAGAAATTGGTTTAGAAG